TCTTTACACATTATTCTTTCACAATGCAGTCATTTTGACTGCTTTAGGCAACATAGGTATATACTAAGTTTCAGTCTTTCTAGTGTTAGTCAAGATTGGATTTTACTACTAAAGTGATCGAAAGATTATACTCTGGATAAATGAAATGTTACGATCAGATATTTTGAATACACATCGAAGAGAGGAAGCCATAATGTTAAAGTACCGATATATTGGAAAGTGTCCATGCTTATGACGTCAATGACGGGACACACGACCCTCGTGGGATCCTCGGCCACCCTCTCCAGCAGCGGCTCGAGCCAGTCGGCGTTGCATTCGCAATGGGAATCGAGGAACGTTAACACGGTGGCGGTGGCTGCGTCCGCGCCTCGCACCCTCGACCTCATCAAGCCCTCTCTTTTCTCGTTGCGTATCACTCGTACTTTGTGTATCCTCGATAGCTCTTCACCGTCCTCCGCTACCAGGGAAAAAAGTAGGTGAATTGTCGCGGCGTTCATCGAATACACACGCGTTGCACGTTTACGGAAAATTCAGATTCATTAAATGTTTACGTTTAATAACGAAATTTAAACGGATTTTCGAGTTACAAGAATAAATCACGATTTATTTGACAAATTCAATAGAAGAACACATAAACCGGTTTCATAAAATGAATGAAAAATCTTCCGATTAATCAAATGGATAATAATTATTTCAAATTGCTTACGATGGTCGCTGAAGTCGTCCACGAGAATAATTTCCTTGATCAGATGCTCGGGACTTCTGTTCAGCACGCTGAAACCAATGAGAAGCATGAGAAGCCGCGGCGAGGAAGAAATTAAACGATTCTAATTTCAACCGGCGTAATTCGACCACTGTAGCCTGAATCCTCTCTTAAATAAGTTTCTTTAAATAAGTTTACCGGCGGCATCCTCGAGAGGAAAAAAGAATTTCTCTCCCAACGGGGGAGTAATCTCTTTCGAGCGATGTTACCGTGGAGAAATGTTTCAATTAAGTGGCTCGTTCGCGAGGGAAATCTTTGACTGGGCGAATGCAGCGGTGCATTAAGTATCGAAAACAGCAATCTTGTATTTTAATAATCAGCGCAGTTAAGCGCGGGTCAAAGGATTTATGAGATAAATGGCAGATCCTGTAGTAGGACCGCGTGATTTATCGCTGCGCTCGGTAATAGGTACGTAAGCGTGTGGAACGGCGATTAGAAAATTCCATTGGGCGCCTCTGCAGACACGGCTCAAGGGTTCTCTCGGGTTTTCCGCGGAACTGCATCGCGTTGCACGTACACGTGAGAATTTACCCCGCGATCAACGAGGAAATATTAATCTCGTTTCGTTGAATTCCCTACTTCACGTTTACTCCAGCAATTTTTCTCTTCGTTATTTAATATCAGTTCTATTCGGTACCTTACGACGGTTCTGAGCAGCGTAGATCGAGCCTCATTATGAAAAGTGATTATCACCGATGTTGGCGGCAGATCCCTTCTCCATTGTTTCATTCGACACCTGAAACGAAGCAAACAGAAATTATGCAAATTACGATATTCAGAGTACAGTTTTAAGAAATATTTATCAATGAAATCCCAGCATGATATTCTGCGTAGAATTATAAATGAATAACAAATGTAGCAGGGAAATATATTGGAAGAGGCTTAATTAAATACGTTGCAACTCGGAATCAAGATTTCTCTAATGAGCTTGGTAGCGAAACATTAGACAGTGTATAATTGGGTCATCAACTTGCCACGACTGCGATCGATAGTCGCCCGTACTTGGTTTCTTCTCGACGTTATCTACCGTAACGTTCGTTAATATGTTTATCGGTTCATCTCAAGAGGATTCCCAACGAATACGTAAAGCGTCGCCTCGTTAATAATTAACCACTTCTCTCCGCATTATTGCCACGATCCATCCACGTCTCCCATTGTATTTATTAATGTATCATCCAATAATTTTCAAGGAACTTGCTAATATTTATCGTATTGTTCTATACTGATCCTTCATTCATTTATATATTATGTACATGTTTCTATCTCGATCCAATAATTTACCGGAGGCTGCGAGGCTTGAATTCTTCTAAATTATACGAAGAGCACGGATTTGAAGAGTTCACCGAGACCATTTATTCCCGTGTATCGACGTGAGACCCGTCCAATTCGTATTTCCCGCGGCTCACGTTTAAGACCGAGCAGAGAAAATAGGAGGAAAGGAGGACGAGGATGATTTCGGCGAAGGACGCCGACACGGATGGTACATAAACGCGGCTAGACGGCCAGAACGATCCCAATATGTCAGTCCTACTTTTCCCGGATAAACTCCCGGAACGTGTACGGAATGCGTCCACGTAGCGTGTACACCAGCAACATGCCCCGCCGCCGCGTAGGTACCATCTGTCCCGCTATTGTAAAAGTTCACTGATGAGATTATCGATCGCTGGAATTATTACTAACCGGTGGAGTGCAATCGCTTGGAAAATTTACCGCTCCGTCTATACTTTTAACCCGTTCGCCGAGAATCGGTAACAACGGCCGTTGTTTCCTTCCACCCCCGCCGGCCGTTCGTTCATCGACGGAAATTACCGAATTAAAGTCACGTCGCGAGACGGCGTTAAATTAATAACGCTGGGAACAAAGAAGCCCGGGCGAGAGTGAAAAATTACTTTGCAACGCAATAAAATCTTGCGGCGCGGTGCTTTAAGGAGGAGGATGAGGAAGAAGGCGTTTAATGCAGTGGGTGGCCCCGGGACTTTCGGCTTTCTTGTTACGGCTGCCGTTGAAATAAATTGAGAGCGGCTACATGAAAGCGTGCGTCCTCCCTCGGAATTTAATGGGACATAAGTTTCCTATTTGGCGCGGTCCGTCGTCACTCTTTTTACTCAGGAATTGCGGAGATGTCAGTAATCGATTAAGGCTCATTAGCCGTTCGTTTCGAGCAATTACCGAGCATGATCTCGGCGGGCTAGATTATATTTGCAGACAGAAATCGCAAACGAGCCTTAAAGTGGACCGGACGTGGACGGATCATCCGGACGGTTTAATTCGGAACTGCGATTCGGGCTTTGGACCCGGCGTTAAAGTGGATAACGCGCGCGAGTCCGTATCCGGCGACCCCATCGAATTCTCGTGAAACGTGTACTGTCCGCGTTTACACGGGACAATGCGCGTTCCGCCGGGCGGAACGGCGAGAGGTACACGGGGAATCGTCCCATTCGCTAAATTGACGATCCGATCGATTCACCTTCGCGTTAGTACAATTTGTTAAAGATACTTGTAAACACAGCCAGTGTTTCGCGAATTGTTATTGAATCGGTGCCAACATCTAACCGATTTTCTTTAAACATTCTATTGATTCAATTTTTTAAAAGCATTTTCGAGTTCGTCTCGAATTTATGAACGAAAATATGAAAATTGCAACTTTAGTAAAAGCTTCGTTAAAATTCGAAACGTTTCTGTAATTCTGTGAAAGGGTCAGAAATTTTTTAAAGTAACGCTTGAAAAAAAAATATGTGAAATATTGAGCGCCTAAATAATTCGGCGTGGAAAGGCGTGGATGGGGGAAAAAAGAAGGCACGACACGAAGACCGGGGGAGGACGGAATGAAGGAGAATAAAGCGAATTCGGGGACGATGTATAAATTCGAGCGCGTGCACCGAGCGGATTGCACGGGACTGTCCGCGATCCGGGCGAGTTTCGAATTAATCCCCGCGCGTCCGATCTCGCATCGAAATGCAATCGTGGACACGGCCAAGTGGTTACAACGGGTCAACGAGGCGCGGGAGAACCGGAGTTATCCGTATGACATGGAAAATAAATTTGCAGATAAAAGCCAGATGAGTTTCCCATCCGCAAAATGCAATTGTCTTATATCCCCTTGTGAGTTAATAGCTGCACGCGACGATTACTGTGCAGCTCATTGTTACTTTCAGCGTTTCTATTTAGAACAAATATTTTACGCGTTCGAAGTACGATATTTAATTTATTATTATTAAAAAGTGTTTTTCGTATTATCCAATCGTTGGCTTGTTTCCTAGAGGATATACTCGATCCTCTCTCATTAATTCGTACGCTGTCCGGTGTGACCGTTTCGAAAACGCGCTCGTTGCGATCGACACCAAATCCTGGCTAAGCGGATTTTTCCGAAACGCAGCCGTGTGCTCGGCACGTTGACGAAAACTCGCGTTCGGAGTTAAAAAATAACTCCCAGCCCAGGAGAGAGAGAAAGACATTTTAATACGCACGGCTTCAGCGTATTAGCACGCGCCGTGTTTTTGACAACGACGAAAGCCACAGTGAAAAAAAGATACGACAAAGAATCGTGAAGTGCGTTAAAACGACCTCTTTTATTAAATTCAGAATAACTACTCGACTGTCTGATTCAAGAAAGTGCTATTAGCTTGTTCAATTCTGTGCTCCCCGTGAATTGATTTAGACGCCGGGGTTTAGAGAGTTCTAGGATGTTGTCAATTTTAACGCTACACGACGTGTATTAAATTCTCTACCTCTAAACATCCTCAAACACACGATCTGTTCGCTGCGGGAAGTCTACAAACTCCGATTCGCGGCACGCTGTTCGCCCCGTAGAAGACAGTCTGAGTATACACTGACTCGCACTACTTGCGTGATGTACGCGCGGCTAAATCTCGGCCAGCCCGGCTCTGTGTTTGCCCTCTCCCGTTCAAAAGTCTCTCAACAAAGAAAGATAAGCTTGTAAATAGCGTAAATAAAGTTTGACTTTGTTGCTAACCGATAACAATTAATAACTAACTCGTTTCTTTGTATGTTAGGAATGTTGCGCTTTGAAAAACGATCGTACGACATCCAGGAACGAGTTCGTAGCACTCACGCTCCTCTCTTCTTACCAGAAATTCTATTTACCGTTTGAGCTTCACTAGAGACTCGCTCGTTTCGCGAAATTCCCGAGGTATAAAACAATTTCTCTCCTCTCGTCCGTCCTCTAAAAATTCTGATTTCCACAGACGCGGGTATTACGTTTCACGAGATTTGGATCAAAGCGGCACGAAGGGATACTCCTTATTGTACATTCCATTGTTTCGTGTAGTTTCTGGGAAACTTCGGTTTCAATGGAGCATTATCTGTCCGGGGTAGGAAAAGTTCGATATCTCGCCGGATTGTCTATATCCACGGCTGAAAGGGAGAAAGAATTTCAGCGAGCACAATGGTTCTTTCGAAGGAAACGAAATAATACCAGCATCGTCTCGCGCCCGCGTCGCGTTCCCCCGATCGTAGGTAGAAGGGATGGAAAGATTATTGCGCCCCGATTGCCCCCGAACTTTCTGCGACGATTCTCGCGGCAGTCAATCCGATTAATTAATTGTAATTTCGACCGAGCAGTTCATTTAATTCGAACGTAGCTTTGACCGATAGTTAATTAATTAGCCACGCGCCCGAGTTTTCGACCCGGTTCGATAAGAGGCTTTATTTAACTAATTAGGAAACACTTCGATCGGTTAGCTCGATTGCTAATTGAATAAACAAGGACGATCGTTCTCGGTTTCGATCAGCGATTTCTTTCACGAAATTTGATGGAACGTGAAGAATGATTTGTTACAGACGCGTACCCCTCATTACATCGTCCATTTATTTGAAAACCGTCGGCGTACGCACCTGCCCAACGGTACAAAGAATAGGCATCGATCAGCGGTGGTAATTTCCCAATTCCCATTTCCATTCCCGGCGAAATTCAACGTTATCAGGGTCAATCGCGATACGTAACGCACATTATCAATCGTTCCGCTCGGAAACGGTCCAATAAATCCGATTAATCGCGTGATACCTGATCCCTGTTAACGAGCCTCGTGCCTTTTTCCGCTTTTTACTGTATCTATCACCGGAAATGCTACGCCCGATATCACTCGCGTATTATATAACAATCGTTGCTTCGTTTCAGTGCTAAGCGGATGTTCTCGCATCGATGTTCTACGTCCATACATGAACTCGTAGTCTGATATGAAATTATCTGTAATTATTTCTATTCTGGATATATAAACTATTTCTGCTTTCTGTTTCTTATTTCAAGATAAAATTCAGTTTATAATGTGAATTATAGATTATAATATATTTATTAGAAATTATTTTATTTTTATATTGGGTTGGGGAATAAGTTCGTAGCGTTTTTACCGAAGACTTTTATTTAAACAAAAAACAATAATTATATCAATAAGTTAATCAATTATAGAATCGTTTTATGATCGCAGTTCATTTTTTCCGCCAATTCACGACTGGTTTGGCGACCGTTCTCCTTCAAAAGTGATTTGAGACGTTCTTCATCGAATTCAGAAGGCCTTCCGCTGCGGGACGTGTCATCGACGTTAAAGTCGCCATTTTTTAACTTTGCAAACCATTTCCGTGCTGTAGACTCGCCTATGACACCTTCTCCATACACGTCGCAAATGTCCCGGGCTGCTTCGGCAGCTTTTTGACCTCGATGAAAAGCAAAGAAGAGCAGGTGTCGAAAATGTTGATTTTTGCCTCCTGGGTATTCCATTT